TCCCTCTCCCTGTCTCCCTGTTAACTTAGATGAATTAAACACCCCTGGGTTATTCTGCAATTATTTTTGCATTTGCCAGCAAGAGTCATCCACATTTGCACTAATCACAATGTCCCAGCTGTTCTCCTTCCACACAGTTATTTTTAATTGTGTTGCCTAAACTTGCAATGAGCTGTATTTAAGGTGAAGTGTAAAAGATGTCTGTAATAACAACACATTTATTGTATTTTTTTGTATGTTACAGATAGGACAGAGAAAACACGTTGCCATTTATAGTTTAATACTTGAAGTAACTTTTTAAAATGGGCTTTTATAAATTAATTAAATACAAAATCACATTGCTTTGCTGGGAAGCTCCTTTGTGTTTTAGCTGTATTGTACAATTTCCCCATATGTATGCTTTTCCCTAAATGTTATCTGTTGAAAGTGCATTCAAGATTTTGTACATCAGTGTTCAGACCTGTTCATACTTCTCTGAAGTACAGTTCATGTTTAAATAAAAAAGTTGTGCTATTTTAGGCCTCTTTTCCAAAGTGATAAAATATGAACGGACTTGACACTTGAATTCATCAGTGAATGCAACATCAACTTAATAAAGTATGTGAAATAATCTGAAAATTGCTTAGCTGTAGCATGTGTGTATTAGATCAGCAAGAAAAACTGCCTACCTGGGAAACATTTTGTAACTGTTGCACAGTTTGTATACTCCAGCTGCAACAAACCTAAGATTACACTCTTGGTGTATCTTCCAGGTCACTTGGTCTTGAGAGGGGAAATAAACTCTAGCTTGTGGTTGACAGTGTTCCTTCAGGACAGTAAACATGATTTAGAAATCAGATTGCCACTAAGGCATCAGCTGTGTTCCTTTTAGATCAGAAATAATCTCTGTTAACAGGGTAGTAACACCCAAGTTGACAGTGGCATGACAATGACACAGGCATTTAAATTCAACAGTTCTTTCCAGAAAGTTTTAAAAAACTGGAACATTTTACAATCTTTTATGAGTTCCAGACTCATACACCTAACTTTGTAATTCTAGTTCATCTTGGTCCTTGCATGCCTGATGAAGTGAGTGCTATGTAAGTATCATCAGTTGTGTCTCAAGTACTAATGTATACAGCAGTATCCCTTCAGAAGAGAGAGCAACCAGTAAGAGCCCTCTGGTCAGTACCAGCAAATAATCCCTTTCAACAGAGCAGGGGTGGTCTCCCAGCTTTCAAAAGGAAATTAGCGAAGCTATAAATCTTACTCAAATCATCATCATTGCACTTGGAAACTCACAGTTTTATGCAAAGCCCCCAAAGAACAGAAAGGAGGCAGATGGCAGAGAGCTCCAGAACTTCTTCTAAAGAGACAATAAGAAGAAAATATATACTGTTCTGTAGGACCACTTTTAATGTAAGATTTTGTACACTGTAGCAAAGTTTAATTTGTCATCTACCCTTAGTATAGTGAGTTACAGAGCTACCATAATAGGTACAATAGCAGATCCCATGGTAGTGCAGAATACATGCCGAATACAAATACACCGTATTACTCAAGATGTCCACTTTTTTGACACATTTAAGTGGTTTAAATGATCGCTGATATATCTGTGCTCAGGAAACTTGGCTGTCATCAGGCGTTTGAAAGCTTCCCATCTTGCACGTCTCTCTTCTGTGTTATGTTTGTACTCCTGTTCCCATGTCAGGTAAGGCCGACTCAGCCAATATTCATTCTCTGCTTCAATTTCCAACCTTCGGATCATTGCTTGCTTCATTGAAAGGGTAACCACTCTTGGTCGCCTGTACTTTCCAATCCATTGTTTTCCAGGAATTCTCTTTCGGAGTAATACTGCTGTTAAAAACATTATGCCTCAAAATAAAAATATAAAATACTTATTACCTTAGGGATAAAGTTTAACAAGAAAAATTAAAAATCTACACACACTCCACTGCCTTTTAGCTGGCTATTACAAAGTTTGAAGTTCAGAACATGATACTCACAACCAACCATTACGTACAGTACAGTAACAGGCATATTGGAAACTTAAGACCAGAAAAAGGGAAATCTTTATTTAGCTGAAGAGTTCACTCCGCTACCCTTATGTTGAGATTAAAGCACGTTGCTCTCAATTATGAAAATTCCAGTCCCAAATACTATTAAAGGATTCACTTCATTTGTTCCACCTTCAAATAGCTAGCTGCATTGTCAAAACAGGGACTATTTCCAGGTCTATAGCCTAGACCCAGATCTGACCTTTGCTCAGTATTAAGTTATGAACTACAGTCTCTCCATAAACTTACTAGTATACAGTTATCTATTTCAACTATAGGAAATCTGGTTTGTGGAGGAAAATATCCTGTATTAAGAGAAACCAACATATGTAGGAAGCATAAATACAGTTTCCAGCGCAATGCACAGGTGTAACAAAGAGGCAAGAAAGGCCAAGCTACGTTTAGATTTGACCCACACGCTCTTTATTAATGTTTATTAGTCCCAAACGCGCCTAACTCCTAGGTCTCATGACACAGTACTTTCAGCAACTGGTAACGGCACAAACCAGTGCTGCTGCTGGCAAAAGCCACCCCCACGTTCCCCGCTCCCGCAGCACAACTGCACGCCGATGTTCCCCTCTGATCTAGTTTAGAGATGAAGCTGTGGAGCTTCGCGGGGGCACCGCTGCCTCTGGTTCCGCTCCCGGCAGGGGAGGGCAGGGCAAGGCTGCCCGTCTCCACCGCAGCCCCGGCCGCTCGCCCTCGGGCCTGCACCCGCTGC